TCTTCTATTACACATTCAAAACCAAAAACTGACTTTAAACTAACAGGAAGAAGCAACACATAGTACACCAGTAATCCCCAACACTGCACCTATTCATCTTAAAAAGGTATATTATGGTATTTTATGCATATCATATTGCTCATGTAAGAGTATCAGTATCATTTACATATTTTAATTGCATTTCATAATAATCTTCATTCTGCAGATGCCTAAGCTGAAGCTAAAAGAATTTGAAACCTTCTCAAAATGCTCATGTAGTTGCACTGAATATAAAAGGTTAAAACTGCAGAAGTGATGGAAAGAAGACAAAAATAGTGGCCATAGATTTTACATGAAAACTTGGAGACTATGGTTTTCAACTTCTGAAACACAAAGCCTGGAAAACCTCAGAATAGTATGAAGCTCATGACTCCTGTCATTGCAGTATTCTTTAGTCATTATAGCACTTGATAGTAAGCTTAAGATCATATATATGAATATGTACAAATACCAGTTCTCAAGGAGATTAGTAAGGTGTATAAAATCAGAAAATGAAGACCTGACATACTAACTGTATCATTCAGAAAAAATAACATCATTCAGTGTAAAGCAAGTGAAATAATTTTGCCAGGAATAATAGCCAAAGAGAACCCCAAGGAAGCGGGTAAAGGACTTTGAGGCATGTGTGTGGCACCACTCAGAGAGAGTGTCAGTTTAGCCAAATAATGAAACCAAAGAGAAAGCAGAAATTCACATAACGAAGCTGTGAATTCTAACTATAAAATTAACCTGTGGAATTATATTGTCTTATTCAATAAATATTCAATAAACTTTCAATTAAAATTTTGACAACAAAGATGTATAACAGAAATTTTGGCAGCTGACAACAGTTCATGGTCGAAAACATTTAGGATTCTGCTCAGACACGGAAAGTGGGACTCAGCACTTCACAGAAAGAGAAGTTTAGTGTTAGGGGAAAATCTGCAAATGTCTTCAAGGGCAAATGCTGCACTGTCCAGAGAAAAGACAAAGAAACTAAAACCTACAAGAGCAGGCCTGGTTCTGCTCTATTTGGCTTGGCGTTACCCAGCCAGCATATATAGCCACCCAGCCAGTGCATGCATGACCAGTCACAATACATGCTGCCTTTACTCCATGCAGTAGTTAAAGGGCAAGGGAAGGAAATGGGGTTGATTCAGAAAGGAAAAAAGGGAAAAGAGCTGGGAAAGCAGGCCTACGCAGGCAAAAGGACTCAACAAGAAAAAATATTTAAAATGAACCTATGTCAAAGACATATTACTTGGAGGGAGAAACAGAAGATGCAGGATTCTTAAGCAGGGGAGATTTCAGTCTGCAGGGTTACGTTTTAAATGCCAGCAGCCATGGCTGCAGCATATCTAAATAGCTTAATTTGATAACGAGGTGGTTTAGCTGGAGCATCATTTCCCAGCACTTGGCTCATAAACAACAGGAACACACAGAGAAAAACAGGTCAAAACAAAGATACAAACAGTCCGGCCAACCAGTATATATCTTACCCAAAGCAACTGCTTTCAAAATTTACTGAGATCTTCTCTCTCCCATTACTTCTGCTCCTGGAGTCCATGTTTCTACTTGCATGCCCACAGACACTAACTTACCAAGCATCTCTGTCTACATTGCTTTGATTTGCACTCCCTGCTCAACAGCATCTTTTTCTCCCATTCCTCAATTCCGAGCCAAATATAAGTAGCTCAGACAGTCAGCAGCACCAGTTTCCAAATGCATTGCCAGGTCTCAGTTCTCTCACATCTCCTCCCTTCTGTATTACCCCAAGAGTGTCCCTCTTCATCTTTCATCAAGGCTATACGTAAGCAGATTCTTTCTAAAATTTCACTCTCTAAAACAAAGATTCTTCCACATTGCTAAAATTGTCACCCAGGCTCGTTTCACTGTGCATCTCATTTACTGCAGTGTTCTCCCTCAGCCTGGACAAATGTAGTCTGTCATCTTTGGTATTCATTCAGAATGCTCCTGTGAAGTTCATGTTTGAGCCCATCATCTGCCTGTGCATCCATCCTTTACCTCATCAGTTATAGCTACTTACTTTCATTTCCAAGAAATTTCAAAGTCTAATTCATTCCCCTTCAGCCCTCTCCAAGAATTTCTTATTCTGTATCCAACAGCTCATTATGCTTGCCCTCTATGTCTGACTTGTTAAATGAGAGGATCTTTGTTCTTCTTTCTGTGCCATACTTCTCTGTAAACATCCCTGAATGAATAGCAGGAGACAATTGAAAATATTACATTCATTGTCTGAGTCCAAGATTAGATGCACCGAGGTTCTGAATTCAAAATGCTGTAACAGTAAAGCTGGGTGAATAATTTACAGCATGGAATTTATTTAATGAATTTTGCTTAATTTTCTGTTTACAAAATGGTGAATTTGGTATTCAGAAGTACTTACCAAATAATCCTTGCAAATTATTCTTGCCATGTTGTTTAAAAACAAGCAAATTTGAAAATTGATCTGTTTTGATGTATATATAGGTCACATGATAAATTTCTGTAGCCTAGTTACAGGAGTATATCTTAGAGGCAGGTTGTGGGTGCAAATACTATCTCTAAATACTATCTATATACAAATACGAATACAAATATCTAAAATGTACTGCCTGACAATAACTTCTAAAATTATAATTGTTGTGGTGGTGATCATTCCTAGCAATAAACTTAGCTTCCAGAATATCATCTGAAACAAATGAAAAAGATATAAACACACAAGCTATTTTTATTTTAAAATGTAAATGCTTTTTCAAAAGAATTGTCATTTTATTTTAAGCCTGATTCTCTAAGGAAAAGAAAAAGGGTTCATGGCCTGAGTTTTGTCTTTCTGTAATGCTCAACTGAGACATTTTCACCTAATACCACAGTAACTTTTTCAGACTTCTGGTTAAAAAACAAATGAAAAAAAGATTTGCAGGGGGGAGAAAAAAAGGGTACATACAGCTCCAAAATAGCCACAGTGCACTGCCTTGCTCATGGATGGGCTGTGGAGGGAAGCAGGGTACCTGTAGGGAGATTCAGGGGACACGAGGGCGCAGGGAGATGGAGGAAAACCCAGGATGAAAGGATCTGAGAAAGAACTGGCTATATTAAGGCAGTAACAGTGGAGAAAGGGTCTTACATGTGCAAGACATCCTTCCATAGAAAAATAGCTTTTGTTCATTCCTCTGCTCATAGAATTAGACGGGGGTCTTAACTTTTTGGAGTGTTTATTCATTTTCTGAATGCATAAATCTTATCTTGCCTATCTCAGCAGCTGTCATCTTATTTTACTGGTCAGGACAGTATTTCCATACAGTAACATCTTTCTATCTAAAGTGGCACAAAGCTAGGTGAAAGGCCATGGTCTAAATGATGTAATATTCATGACCTATGTATAAATATTCCTTCTTAGTGTTCTCACAGGACTCAGCCAACCTTCCTTCCCAACAGGTCATAGAGTTTTACATACTTTATTTCCTATTCCCATGCAACCATAGTTTTCAACAAAGAATGTCCTGAATGCCGCAAAACAGCTAACTAAAATTAATCATCTGGGAAAACATTAACTACACCCATGTACCAGATACAGCATGTGAAACAGGGTCACTAGATATCACTCTTGACTATGGGTCAGAAGGTCCTCAAGTCCCGTTCTCAGAGCTAGCTGAAGATCCAGTGCAGTAACATCAGATAAATACAAAATGCGATGAAACTTCCAATCTTTTCTGACTATATCACCGTAACAATTTTCAAATAAGGGCTGGTACCTTCCATTGTAGTCCTCTCCCAACGTGGCCTTTGGCTTCTGAGCGTTGGTAATACAAACCCCTAGCCCAGGAGCACAAAACTTATTTACAAGTGTGATCTTTTACTTTGGTATACTGTCCTACAAACCTATATATATACTATGTTCAGTTCTATGTGTGGTATGTATTGTAACTTTTCAGCCACAATTATTATTTAGGTGGGTAATTAATATTTTTGGATGGCTTTTAAAGTGTATTAGAGGCTAAAAATTAAAGGGACGGCACTCTTGTGAAAAGCTTTTCTCTATAGCCTGTCAAAAAATACTATTTGAAACAGTTTGAAAACTGGTGATTTAGTTTGCAAGCCTCAGACAGAAAACAAAGTCAATATACAATTTTACAACTACTTTTTTTTCTTTGGTGCATTCAGTTATAAAAAGAAATTTGCTCTACTTTTCCTATCACAAAATTGAAGGTATTCGATATACAAAACATATTCTCTGTACATTTCACAGGATAATTACACACATAATATCTTAACTGCGTTATTAAATTTTATCTCCCCTCTTTTTTCTCTCAAATACATACTGAATGCCAAATCCACTGAAGAGAAGTGAAGGTGATGAAGTCTGTAATAGGACCAACACATGAGACATCTTTTCTGCGAGTACCAAAGGAGCATGGCACCCCAGTGCCATGTCCCACTCATTCAATTTACTATGAATGGACATCTGCTGTCCTCTTCCTGTTTTTCAGTGCAAGTTTAAATCTCTTATAACACTTTTTTTAGTGAATGCTCTGCTCTTTAGGGAAAACTGGAATTCTTTCAGGGGAAAAAGAAGTGCCTAAACCCTAAACCATTCAAGTTTCAGCTGAAACAGAAAGTATTTAAGTGCCTTCCAGGAGCTGCAGCTTGGGCTATGATCATCACTGTGCACTTCATCACCCTTAGGACTGTGGCTGATGTGTCACCTAAAGGAAATCGGGCTATAATACAGGACATGTACGTTCCTATAGGAAAATGGGAATATAAGGCATATATTCCCACAGGAGAACCATGATGACAGCTCAGCATCAAAGTATTTGATTTTCAACGGGCATATTTCAGATTTATTTTTTTCACATGAAACAAAAATATTGCCTTTCCATTTTTATAGGGAAGGTCTGTAATTTAGGAAGATGGCTACTGGGATTTTTTTCTATCTTAGTTTCAATTAGATTTTGCTAACTTAGGACTTGAGATACTACCTTGTAGATGTCCAGGAATCCACACTGATGGTCAAACCGCGTGTAGAGTTCGTTCAGCATGCTGATGACCTGCATGGGCGTGCACTGCGCACAGATGGCAGTGAAGCCAACAATGTCCGAGAAGAGCATGGTGACATCATCAAACTTCCTGGCCTGAACCTGCTGCCCCTGCCACAACTGCTGAGCCACTTCTTCAGGGAAAATAGAAATAAGGAGATCTACTGTTTTCTTTTTCTCCTCTTCCAGGGCTTGGTGTGTGCATTCTAGCGTTGCCTTCAGTTTATCCATTCGTTTTTTCAAGCCATCCTGGGCCTTTGCTTGCTCCCCAACCAATATGACATCACGAGTAGCATCATGGATAGGTATGTCCGAAAGATGGAGGCCTCGGCCCATCAGTTCATCCAGCTTGTCCACACAGGGGGAACCCAGAAACAAAATCGAATTTGATTCTGGCACGTGAATCATTTGTCCTTTAATTTCCATCACCTGCAAAATAAAAACAGAGTTTAGAAAAGGAAATATTAGCTGATAGATGTGGATCCCCATTCTACTTTCCCCATCTTTCCTCTTCAGCTAAAATGATAAACATAAACTGTAGCCTTTTATACAGAAGCCTCCTACACTCACCTGTTCAAGTAATGAGATTCACATAGTCTACTCACCAAGGTGAGTCAGAAAATAGCCTATACTGACACAAAAGTATTCCCAAATCAGATGTTGGATTCTATTGCAACCCAATTAAATAAGAAAGCAACCACAATTACACGTATTTCTCAGAATGGTGTGTAAATAATGTTCCTGGAATGTACCTGGCCTTAAAAGCAAATTCCAGAGTAGCTCCTTCTCTGTTATTTAGCTGTAAATTATAAAAAGCACAAAATTAAAGGGAAATGACAACTATCTGAAAGCAGGTTACTGAAATGGTGAAGTAGCTTCCATTCTTTTTCAGCAAAACAGCTACTGAGTCAAACATGGCCATGTTATAGAGGAATCAAATAAGAACAGATGTGAAAAAGGACTCCATAAAATAATGAATGCCATGGAAAAAGCGTACCAGTGCTCCTATTTTGCCTTCTCATACATGCAGCAGAGTTAAAGGCTGACATTCTGCTAGAGTCTGCAGATTTCTTGGTGATATAGATTCATGTAATTTGTATTTGCACAATAGAAGAGGGAACAGAAGAAAAGGAGTAGCAGGTGGTTTGTCACACTGGTTTATAGATTCTGCATTTGCCTGTTAAATGGCTAGCTGTTTTGAGTGCTGTCCAGTGGTTGATACCAATGAGGCCCTGGCTTGTTACTTCTTGCTCTATGATGGCAGTCGAGCATGAAACTACCAGACTGAAATGGACATTGAAAACCAACTATAATAATGTATTTGGCATTTGGGGCTACATCCATTCTGATTTTTATTAATTTACTCAGGTCACACAAAAGTAACTGTCAAACACTGCAAAGGGACATTTCTCACCTGTATATAGTATTTAAGTAACAAAAACAAACAAACAGAAAACTAAGATGAACATGTTTTGTTTAAGCAGAAAATAATTAAATCGGATAAACTGAATCTCTTTGTAAATACAACCTGCCATAGCCTCTGCCATGAAAAACAATCATCGTTAATGTTTTCATTCCAGGACTGCACAAAGACCAGGGCAATACTGTGCTAGGTGATCTAAAAAACGCAGTCCCAAGGACTCATAGTCCCCCAAGGATCTCATAGTCAAAACAGGCACAACACAAACCTTTTGCATCTAAGCACAGTGTTAGGCACCATAATGCCTTAAATCTGTATTTTTCTATTCCACACAGACCACTGAAATAAAAAGGTCTTCTTCGGTCACCCCTTCTTTCATCGTGTAGGCATTCCCTCACTCTCACATGATTCACTTTATCATTTAACCTTCCTTCCATCCATAATCCTTCCAAGCAAAATAGGAATACCTCAATCAGAGAATCCAGAGGTGTCTGTAATAACGATGTGATTTAAGTGTCCAGAGGCCTGGAAGCTCCTGCTGAGCTGACAGCTACCCCCACATGGTACTTTCCGTGTTTGGGGGAGTTGTTGAGAAGCTCCTGTTTCTATTAGGGACATCTTAGATCAGATAATATGCTGTCATTGCAGATCCTACTGTCCACATGGGGACTGAGCCTATCCTGTCCCCATGCCCCTCTGCCTCCATACCCCACGCTGCTAGCAACCCGACAGATGTAACTTCTGATGTCAGCCTGGGAACTCAGCAAATGAAAGTAAATGAAAGTAATTAAAATTGTCAATTTTCCTGATTTATGTTCCCACACACTACTAATATTTACATTTCTAAGCCTTGTTTCCTCAGCTTTGTTATGGGACAGCCATCTCTGTGAGAAAGCTAGACAGCTACCTAAGATGGGCAGATTTAATGCTCCAAGACTAACTGTTCTTTTTAATTTTTAAAACATACGGCTCCCTGCTCAAAACATAAGGGAAATAGGTGCTTTCTTCATGCATGCAGCCTCATGCTTTCAAAGGGCACATACGAAATTGTTTTAACTCTGAAGTACAAATTGCTGAATGTGAAATACATGGTATGGCATTTATAAATTCTCTTCTTATTTTGTTGCCCTTTGCCAGAGAGTTTTTCACTTTTCTGTTCCTAGAATTTGACTGGTGTGCAAAATAAATGTATCTCATATTATCACATCTCTCTTCCACCTCCAGATGAAAATAGGGTGTCGGCTCAGGAGGATAGAGTGTGACCACAGACCCTGGCTGAGCCAGCCTGGCCTGGGGGTGGGCTGCTTGTCAGCAAGGCAAGGCACCTGGCTTGGATCCATGTTTATTCCCTTAACCTGCTGTGAGACTAGAAGAAAATTAATGCATCCCTCTGTGTTCCTGTTTCGCCTTTGTCAATTTGAGGTGTTAAACTCTTTGATGTGATCTCTGTCCATGTGAATATATTGTGCCAACCTTCCCCACGTGGATTTTTCTCAGGAAACACTGATCAAGTGAATAATGTACTAAACAGGCACTTTGGAGTCCTCTCCTCTGCTTCTGGGTAACCCCAGGCAAATTATCAACTCTGAGTGCTTATTTGGCCTTTCAGCACAGCAGGAACAATGATATTGACCACCCTATAGCACACTTCAAGACTTATGTGTGAGAAGCAATAGAAGACAGACAATCCTGTAAAATGCCTAAACTAATAATCACCTGTTCTGCCCAACTGAGCTGAGCCCCTGCTTCAACAAGGTTGAGGGTTTCTAGAGCAATTTTAGAAACTTTTGCAAAGATATTCTCCCTACACAACTGCTCAGTTTCCTGAAAGTGTCAAAGGTTCAGTGAGATTTTGACTTTACCCTCTGAATATTATTATCATTTGCTCTGCTTAACAGGAATTGTTGATGTTTCCTATCACTCCTTTCATGTTACATTAGTGATTCTGATGTCCTGCCCTCTCTTGATGACTGAGGGTTTTTTTTTAAGAAAATGGCCTGCTAGTCTCTTCAAGTTGCCAAATCAGGGAACTGGACAGCAGAAGTAAAGCTGCCCCAGCTTGCCTGCGGAGAAACACTCAGGTCTTCTGAAGCACAACAGTAGAGAAGAGCTAAGACTGCATCACTCTTCTCAGTTTTTGCAATGCCCTTTCCTTTCCAAAGAAGTTTCTGAGATGATTCAGACTCTTTCTAGAGGACTTCGGTCTGCAGCTGTGATGCAGCATAACCCCCATCTCTTTTCTTTGGACCCTCTTACCTCTTACATCCTTCTCTGTATCTTAAAGTACAACTGAATGAAATGGAACATCAGATTTTCCTGAAGCTTGCCATAGCAAGTCACACTTCTAAGCATCTCTCCAGAGCTGGACTGCTTTACACCTGGACCGTAAGCCTACAGGCAATCAGGATTACATCATCTATCCTTCTTGTAATCAGGGAAAGATTGAAACATTTCTGTCATCAGTTGTATTTCATTACAGCTACATTTCATTCTTTCCTGTCTCTTTAATTATTTTCTCACTGAATAAAATGAGAATAATTCCACTGTTTTCAGAGGACATTCTGATCTACAGTGGTACAAGAAAACATTTTGAAATGAGCAATTACACATCATATTTTATGGGATTATGTTGCTGTGAATGATGGTGCAGCATAAGTAGCTCTAGGACGAAAAACAAAAAACCTATCCCTGCATTTTACTTTCACTGCAAACCCACTGCAGAAAATGGGGAGCAAACAGAAAAGGCCCTGCTTCTCAGGAACTCTTTCAGCCTTTCTCCCCAAAGACCCACCCAGGGAACACTGACAGACTCCAAAGCCACAGGTTGAGAACATGGGAGAGTCTCCTACTGTGCTGTACACCAACAGCTACTTCATTAGGTACACAATATCCAACGCTTTGCATGCTCTGGATGCATGCCACCCTAGGATTAAGTATGGATCAAAAGCTTATGAATCAAATGCCAATTCCACTGCCTAAGACTTATTTGTTGCACTGATGGAAGACAATACTTCTCTGTACAAAGACGGGCGTTTTGGAACACTGACTGAGAGAAGGTGTACATACCTTCTGGAAAATATTAAGGGAAATATGAGACGATAGTTTTGAGAAAGAACTAGAGGTTTAAAAAATAATTTTCTTCATCATTAGGCCAGACCATGTATTCTGTAGCCTCTGCAATCCACACATTTTAATGGAGCTGCCACTTAAACTTTGATCAGTACATAATCCCCCCCAAACTGTGATTACAGCCTTCTTTTTTAGGGTTTTTTTTGGGGGAGTAGGTTAGGAACCTTACAGTGCTCGGCCACACTTTTGTAAACAGTTACACATGCATACTTGACTTCATACAATGAACAAATTCAACGAGAATAAACAAAGCTGCTTCTTTAACAGGCCCATAATTGTTTACAGGACTGGGAAGATTGAGGGAAAATCAGTGTATGACGAATCAGTGTGGACACCACCTCACTTCAAGGTACAAAGAAAATAACATAAGCTCAGGAAAAAAAAAGCATCACTGCACACTGAAGATGAGAGTATAAGGTGACTTTTAGATAGGTGAGCCAGCTGCTAGCCTAGATTTTAAAACAGTTGGATTCACTTCTCTGAATGTCCTGTAGGATACATGGCAGTGTCTCAGGGACATTTACAGCAAAATATTCCAAAGTATTTGAGCGGTTAGGGGCGTAGGGGATTTTGTGAGCACTGGACAACACAACAGATCACTTCCAGAAAGAAATGTTATGACTCTGCTTGTCATGTTTCCAGATGACCCATCTAGAAGAGCTGCAAGTATGATGGAAGACACTGGAATTTAAAAAAAAAATCTCTTAAATTGGAGAAACGGGCTAAAAACAGGATTCAAAACAAGGGCAATAAATATGTTCAGGCAGAAATAATCAAATGCAAAAAATACAGGCAAGGTAACAGTTCTTAAGAAGATGCCCCAGCATCTACAGAATGGAACAGATGAACGTAAGACAACAAGTCATGCTGTCATTAAGAC